AGCACTGTTTTGTCACCCGTTGAGATGTTCTCTTACTCAAGTTTGTTATGTTTTGGCATCCATTAATCGCACGGAGCAGATTTATAGCTGTAAACTTGATCGCGGTGTCTTTGCATCTCGGTCAGCATTGTCTGATCAGACATATTGTTACAAAACGTCGGCAGTTACTGGAGCTCAAGTTTAAATAATTTGCAGCAGCTGTAAAATCGGAGTGCTGTGTTATGTCCACAGCTACAGCGCCCCACGGTTCGGTGTGATTGCCCTCACGGTAAGAAAAACAATCATTCATCCTAATGCAAAGCTTTTGTCATGCGGCTCAGGATCATGTGTTAACAGCCTTGTTAAAGAATTTAAAAAAATTATCAGGTTTTTGTCAGCAGTGTAGTCAGCATGTGTACACGGAACACAATCACACGAGGTGTACCAATCTTCAATTCAAAGAGTCAGATTTCAGTTAGGAATAGTAGGTCGGAATGAGTCTTGCAGTCTTTTAGATGTGTGCAGGCGCACAATCATGTACTGTCACTTGAAACTTGATCTATTTGAGTGTTGGTAAGAGAGAGCAGCAGATTTGTACAACATTTGTTTTAGTTTAGCTCGGTAGACCTTTGTGTCTTTGAATCTGAATTGTAAAGGAAAGGGAAACTGATTCAACTCCCTCTGTGTGTGCGAGTCTCCATGGTTGAACCCATTAACTGAATAAATCATCCAGCATGATTGCGGTGTCAAATGGGCTGACTGAACCGTTTTCCTTTGCTCAGCAGTCCTCATCTCTTTCTCTTTTTCTTCTTAAGACACGACACACTTGCAAAAGACCCAAAACTCATTTAATTATTTATTGGTTGGAACCAGTGCCTGTAGTGGTAAAATTAGAGGTGGGCAAACTATGAATTTTGTGATCAGACCTCGACGCGATGCAACGCAACACAAAGCGTTGCGACTGTGTAGGCCTAAAAAAAATGGAGGGGGTGGAGGGGGAGACAAAAGATAGGACCTCTATTAGAAACTTAAAAAAAAGGGAAGGCCTCCGGAAACAGGCCGAGCCGTGTAATATGAAAAAAGCCATCCTGCATGTTAACACTTCCCCTGCTCCTTAACCATTAAGAGAAAGCTCCAAAAGTTAACGTAACTAATGAATCTATTCCGAAGAGGCGGACTGATCCACAACGTGTGTGTGTGTTTACATCCTAATTGGTGGAGCCGCTGCAGCCGCAAAGCGCTGATTGGAGGGTCACAGACCCAACAGCGCAGATGAAAATGATCAGAATGCAGCGTTTATATGTTCAACAATATGAAACGTAGCCTTAGGTGTTTTAAAAATGACACCAAATCTATTTCGGATTATCCCAACGGAAGAATAAAAGGCGCGTAAACGCCTTTTCTCAAATCCCAGAGGTCTGTAAACCACCACTACAGCCCTGGTTGGAACTCTTGCTTCAAACTTCACATTTATATGACTTTGCATCTACAAATCAAAAACAGATGTTGACCAGTGAAAAAATCGACATATACTATATGTTGATTTTCCTGGATATAATTCTGGTAACAGTGTAGGTGGGCAAATGAGAAAAGCATCCTCAATGTTTATTGTCCTGTTTCAACAAAAACTCTTTCCTTTGACAATACATTGAATCTTTCATTTCTCCAAGCAAAATATCTGTTAAGAACGGCATGCACACAAACGTTAGAGTCGGATTTAAAGTATCATGTTCTGTCCAAAACATTTAATCCATCGAGCTAAACGAGGCAGGTGGTGGTGGTATTACATTCCCCCCACCTCATCACACCCACGCACTTCTCGGTTTATCTGCAGTCGCGTCTTAGCAAAGCCTCAGGGCATCGCAGGTTTCCTGGTTTGATTCCTACAAGAACAAAGCACTTACAAGATGAGGGGACGCACGCAGGGATTTTCCAGGCCGATTTCCACCATCGTGACAGTCGTGATTGCGCTTGCAGGAAACACTGATGGTGTGCAAAGATCATCTAGGTAGCGTGAAAGGGTTCAATGATTCAGGTTTACCATTTTTGGTTATGAGAATATTGATCCGAGATGCTTCACTGATAACATGGATGTTGGGTATTTAAAGATTGCAGACCACTTAATGGACCTTTGACAAACCCTAAATTATAATAAAAGAAAAATAAATGTGCGTGTTGGTTTAATGATTTATCTCCATTTAATTTGACTTCACAGCACAGTTACTTTTAGATTCACTTCATTACATTATAAAAATTCAAACCAGCATTGTTATTCCTACTATTTTCCATAAGCACCTTTCAATTGTGAATAGTGTTCACCAACTCAAATATCAAATAGGATTTCGCTCAATATTCAGCTCTGATCATTGGTTGAAAGTTTACAATTATCATTGGTTGAAAGTTTACAATCAAATTGCATTAAGGAATTCTAAAATGGAGCTCCAAATCAAACATCTGCATTAATCTATAAATTAGATTATTACCAAGTGCAATAGCTGCAGTGAACATAGATTTATTTAATAATTCATGGTATATTTGATACTGATACACAGGGGGTGACTGTCACAAACACACGCTGTCTTCTCCAGGCACCTCACTGCCCCTTCATTGCCTTCAAATATCCATAATGTGAATTATAAAAGTCAGGGAATAAAGCCACTGACCTGGTAACAATCACTACACTCCATCTCCTCCTAATTAGCAGGAAAGGTTCACAATAACAAGTCTTAAATGAATAAATAAATGATATCGTAGTGTGGATGATACCACTGTGGAAGCAATCAGTCTGATTGCTAAAAGAATATGAATACAGCTTTGACACTGATACATAATGTTGCACGCTGGATGCACTGGCCCGGCGAGGACTATGGGAATGGAAGAATTAAGAGGTGTGGATGTTTACGCACCACCTCACCGACGAGCACCTTGATTTCTGATTACAATCGGTTGTGGCTGTAATTAACAAAATAATTATTAATCAGCTGACCCATTTCTAAGTATAAACTTTCACGAGGTATTTTACATGGCCTGTATATGTTTGAATCTTGGTGTGCAGAGGGCAGGGTGAGTCTGATCTGTGTGTGTAACGAGTGGATTCATAAAAGGAAGTTGAACACAGGCAGGCGTACGCCCAGGTCTTCTACTCATCTCCCTGACGGTTCTCCGCCTGATAAGCTATGATTTAGTTGGTTTCCCCAGTCTGCAAGTTTAATAACTTGGACAGAAGCGCTGTTTTCTATGAATGCAGTATTTCCGAAACCCCTTTTGAATTGCTTACAGGGACCAGACTTCACAGTCCTTCACACTCCTGCACAGAAAGACATGGAGCTATCTGCTGGGATACACTTCCTGGTGGGTGTTCAAAGCATCTATTAGCTGAGGCTAGGCCAGTTTACAAACACACACATACTAGCCCCCCCCCAGCAGCTCCATTTCACTCAGACTATATTGGAAACCTGTCCGTCTCCATGCAGTGGTGGAAATACTGCAATAGGGGAGGGATGGACACGGGCAGAAGAGACAAATGATTTAGATGAATTGTAGCCACGTCAAATGGGTACTTGACAAGTAAAGTAGTTATACTGAAGAACCCAAAAGAAAGTAGAGAGGAGAAGAGACTTTAAAACTCTCATTTACTGGGGAGACTGTGCTCCCTTGAATGTCCCCCTGGAAAGTAACATGCCTGGAAGAAAAAACCAGGATAGAAGTTGACAACGGTAAGAATCTGGATTGTGTTTAATCAGAGCCCGATGATCTCCGTGGCTGTGTGGGCTGGATCCGTACCAGTGTTCCTCAGGTGGCAGGCTTATGAATCCTAACTCCGTGGGGAAATAAGAATGATGAGGTGGCTGTTGTTCTACGAGATATATGATGATAGTTCATGTGTCACTGCTGCTGCTTTCATACAATAGCACACACCAGAATACAAGGGAGCAATACAGGCAGATGTAATCATGAGTTATTTTCGGCGAGGAGGGATTACCCTGCGTTGCTTGTTTGGTGGTAAAGTGTGTTGGTGAATGAAGTTGGATGGAGCAGGTTTGTTATGGGCATCTATGTAGTCTTTCTGATGCCAGTATGTAGTCCTTCTGGCTTCTATGAAAGCAGCTTCTCCGTGCAATGTCGTTGTCACAAGATATAACAGAAAAGTCCCAAATGTACATGCGAAACCAACCTTTACACCTTCTCTTTGATTTTAACACAATTTAGAAGCCTGTGAGGAGTGACGCAACAAACCCTTGTTTGAGGTCTTTAACCTCAAACATTAACTTTAACATTTTAGCTGCAGTAAACTCCAGGACCCACACACACAGACACATATATAAACCAAAAAAGTGTATATTTATATATAGCTGTATGTTGATACATTTGTGAAGCAGGTAACTTGCGTTACAATCCTTTGTCTAATCTATGGTAGATCAAGAACTGATATATTATACACCTGGTAATTAGCAGTGTAACGGACCACCGACCCACATTGATTGGAAGGCATGTGAACTGGGGATGAATTATACAGTTTGATGTTATTCATCACACTGTAAAATAAAGTTTTATTTTTATGAATAAAAAAATGGTTACACAAGTGGTTACACAAGCTCAAAGCAGCAATTCTTGACGAGATTTGTTTGGATCACTAAGTCCATTATTTTTTTTTACATCATAATTCGTAATCATAATTCTGTGTTTTATTGATAAAACGCAATAGATCGATATAACAAACTTAGATTTTTGACGGTTGACTGACTTCAGAGCGGTGGAATAGTAAAGGTGGAAAAAAAAAAACGTCTCCAGGGATCAATGAGTTATATTTGCTTCTTTCTTATCTGCCAATTCATTTTGTGATCCAATCCTTAATGGATGCTCGCCATGATCCAAAATGATATGATACGTTGCACCAGAACCAGTAATGCTTCATTCTATCTAAGTGTGATTTTCCTCAGAAGTTTAAAAATCCGGGATTGCTTTGTTTAAAGTTTTTAATTTGCTTGACATGTTTTCTCTGTGTCTTTTGTTTTTGGCAGGATGATTCCATCCAGCAGCAATGACTTCCTGGTTCGGGATCTCGCCACTGGACGCAACTACGATCTCTGTGTCCTGGCCGTGTTTGATGATGTCATCACCTCACTGACAGCAACTCGTCCTTTGGGCTGTCTGTCGTTCACCACGGACACAGAGTTCAGCCAGTGCCAGGCATTGCACAGCCACTTCCTGGGAGGCACCATGATTATTATCATTGGAGGGATTATTGTCGCCTCTGTGTTGGTTTTTATTATCATCTTGATGATACGATACAAAGTTTACAGCCAACAAGGGACGGGCCAGGGAAAAGGAGCCATGGCGGCAACAGCGCCAAGACCACAGAGCAACGGGCAAGGAGGAGGCGGACAGGTCCAAGTCTTCCCTCACTCTGCCTCAAAAATGCCCGACAGTCAGGAGGACCAAGCGCTTGCACCGTCAAGGGCCACGTCGCCTAGCAACACTACGAGAGACACTGTGGCATTGGTGGAGGAGGCGAGCGGCGGATACAGCGTAATGACAAGGACTGACTCCTTGGCCAATGAGGAGTTGCTCTCTCCCACCAGGGCGCGCTTCTCCTCCAGGGTCGCCATTGAGATGAAGAGCAGACCACCATCTGTCGCCAAAGAGCCCACATCGCCCAAGGAACTGGCAGGTAATAGAGCGACAGACAGGGAGATAAACGTAGATGAGGAAAGCAGTAGAGCAAAGAGGCATTTCACAGGGGTGGAAAGACTTAACAGTAGGAAATTGTTAAAGAAAGAACTGGGAAGAAGGGAGAGCCAAAAAAAAATACAGTCCAACAAAAAGAGATGAGAAATAGGCAATGCGTAATTGGGGGTGTGAAATTGAGTAAGATGATATCAGTGTGTGGAACAGAGAGAAACTGAGTGAGTGTGAAGGAGATAATGAAGATGCCATGCTGGTTCACTGGGAGAAAAAAAAAGTAATAGGCGGAGGAGGGAGCACTTATTTTTTGTACAGCTTGAGTAGCATCTGAAGTCATAGTAAAATCTGTACGGTTGTTAACACATCGCTCATTGTTTATTGATTTTTTTTTAATTGGACAAAAATGTTCCCCCATAAAGTGTAGTAGAATTAACCTGAAACATTCCTCCACGGTCATTGAATTTAGTTTTCTGCTTTTGTCATTACCAAGCTTATAGTCTCTGGACAATGGAGGGTACGTTACAGGATCAGTAGGATGAATAATCCAAAACTGTTAAGTCGTTTTTAGAAGAGTTTATTTTGTTTGTCTAAGTGAAAAATTGGATTTTTTGCAATAAACTGCACTTTTGGGACTTTTCTCATGCAACATGTTTTAAAAGCCTTTGTGGTTTTGCAGAGGAGAGGGTAGATTTGGTAATGTGGGATTACCCATCGCACCCCAGGTAACAGTGTTACGATTAGTCGTTCTTCCCCACTTGTCCCCTCTGAAGGTGCTACAATTTAGGTGATACATTTAGCACCTTGTTTGCATTAGAAGCTCTTGAGGGTGAAAAAAGAATGTAACTTCATTGCGAAGAAAAAGCTATTGAAGAATGCCTGAAGTTCGATGCAGACCCTAATTGTCCTTCATACAAAATGGCATCATGAGGAAGCATTTGAAATGTTTTGAGGCTTTAGGCTTATTTGCACTCCTAAGGGTGAATATTTATTTTTAATCATGCGGAACCTGATAAATGGAATACGCAACTTTTATGAGCTTTTCTGGCACTCATTCTGGCAGCATTTACTAAAGTATGTGTATGTTTGGAACGCTGCAAAAACTCATTGTTCAGATTTTGCCCCCTAGTGTGTTCTCCTTTCGTTAAGGAATGCTAAAATAAGCAGTAGAAATAAAAGCAAAAATACGTTTTTCATATTTTTCTAATTTTCCAGCTTAAAAACTACTCGTGCTACTTGAGCTGCAGGCTACCCTTAACTGGCCTTTGATGTCTTGCCCTCATGCCTGCCCGTAGGTCGACTTCGTTTGGCAGAAAGTTTGTTTCCTTAACATGCTCGATTCTGCATGCTCGTTTTTAAATAACTTGTTTATTTGGCAGCAAAGGCTATCAGATACATCTTATTTTGTAATCAGGCCCCGAGTCTCTTGATACAAGCTTTTAAAGTGGCACATTATCACAGAGATTGGTTGAAATGCTCAATAAAGCTAGAGTTATACTAATAATGATCCACAAAAGCTTGAAAATGTTCTCCTTTGGTGGATTTCATGAGCTAAACCCACTTCACTTCTCTTCCCCTTTAACACTAATCCACTCAGGAAATGGGAGTGTCATTAGATTGAATAAATGGAGATACCATTTCACATGAGTGGCTCAAACAGCTGAGTTGAAATTCTTTATCAGCGGCTGATGCGTCCATTCAATTGGCCCCTCTGAATGGGTTGAAATGAGGTGACATCGAGTCCACGCTGAGAGCGGCAGAGAGACGAGAGATCTACTCGCCGGCTTAGCGACCAAGATCAGGGAAAGTTTCCACCTTTGTGAACTCTGATAGAGCTCTTAGTTAGTTGGATTGTTGAAGCATTAAATGAGCACATCGTGGTCTATAATGCTGATACGATTGTAGTTTCTGATGGTGTCAAGAGACGTTTTTTCACTTACAGTCTGCTGGTTACACATCCCGATAAAGCGAGTTGTTTTTCCTAAAACAGTTTGTTGTCGCAGATTGCTCATTTGGGCTGTTACAGGATAGAATTTAGCAAACTGACATCAAGGAATTAGCGTGGATCCCACCTTGCTGTGGCAACGAGCCGTCGCCACATATGCAAACTCTACCATTTCCCCAATGGGCCTAATTAACAGTGTTAACAACAACCTTCACTGACTGAAGTGTGTCACTCAAAGGAGTTCACAAAGTTCATCCCAGACTTTTAACAAGACACACAAACGACGCAATGCAAAGTTTTCATTTTGACACTGGCCTTTAGTGTTCTTTTTCTCCTGTCTTTGATTCCAGGATCACTGGCACTTTGAGGGCAACCCACGAGGAGGGATAATGCTCATGTGTATGTAAGGAGGCTGTTGGGCCTCCTTGAGGTGTAGCTGTGTCCTGATGTGTTGCACTGGATGCTGCATTGCAGGGAAAGGCAACATTGATCTGATCAGGGAAAGAACCGCAGTGAGTCAGAGCGCCTGAGGATCAGAGCAGCTGACAGATACACAGCGAGTCCCCATTAAAGGCCCACGGTTGTCAGATATGTTACCCGACATGAAGGAAATAGGCACATTGTGGGTGATAGTTCTCCTTTTGGTTCTTTGCTTTGAGCGTTTTGTTCATATTCACAAGGGAACTGGATACATGATTTTGGACCTGTTTTTGGATTTTGCTTACTTGCTTTTAGGATATGTTTTGCTGTTTTTAAAAACTGGATACATGACAAGATGATAACATCATAATAATGATTTCTTTGTTATTTACTGTATAATTTAATGTACTTGTGGTAGTAATTATTTTCTAAACTAATAATACAAAACTGAAGACAAATGAATATTTCTCACTCTGCAAAGATGCATTTAAATTTTTTTTAACTTAATTTAAAAACAAATTATTAGTGGCGTAAGTCTTATAAGTCCAAAATACTGTTTTGTTTTACTACTTTCACCGAATCCCAAACTTGTGGGGTGCTCACTTCATGTGGCCTACATACTGTATTTTATGCGCAGCCATTAAATTAATTTTCTTGCACCAAAAGACTGAGGATTTTTCGTCCCTCGCACTTTAGAGTAGAGTTGTACCAGCCCCTCGGCCCCTTACATTACATAGGCTTGAAAAATCAGAGTCTGTCCCTTTGTTAGAAAAATACATTGATGAAGAAATACAGTGCACAGAAAGTAACAGTGAATGATTCTCCTTGGAGCGACACGCGGCTACATGTGGAATTGGCATCTTTATCCTGAATGCTGATTGACAAATATCCTATGAGTGATATCCCATTGTGCACTTTGAATTTCCCTGTAGTTAAAATGTGCTATACAAATACATTAGCCTTGACTTGCCTTGCCTATAAAAGTGATCTGTAATGATATGCTTCAAAGAATCACTTTATGATTATTTCAGGCAAAGTGCTATTAGTTTTAGAACCAGCAACCACGCTGCGATTGGGTGTGGGGGGTGTGTGTATGTATTTGTGTAATGCCATAACGACATGCGATTTTAAATTGCTTGTTTTAAAGGACTTGCATTCCTGAAGGCTTGCCCTACTTAACATGAACATAAGTGTAAGTCAGTAGAATGTCCTCACAGCCATGAAAACAGTGTGTGTGTTTGTGTGTGTGTGTGTGTGTGTGTTGAGGAGAGAGGGGGGGGGTGAGCCTGGCTACCAAATCCCTTCCGGTGTGTGCATGCATTTGTGTGTTAGGGACACGGTTTAACCGCCTGGAGCCAGTGTAAATGTTCCCACGGGGTAAGGCCAGATAGAGAAAGAGGCGAGGACAACACAGGGACGTGTGTGACTCTGTGCAAAGTGCAAGACTGTGTTCTCCCCATGGCCCGTCCATGACCCTGTAGCCTGTCCATCCTCCGTGCATTCTAATCCATCTCCAGTCCTTCCAGTGTCATCCCGTGTGCCTGGCCTCATTTTTCACTGCCATCTGTCTCCCTGAATTCATCTCTCCTAATAATGCCGCTCTCTCTCTTTCACCCCGTCACACAGTGTTTCTACAGGCTCTCTCACTCTGGTCTTTCTTCTCAACCGGCCATTTCACTATCCTGATGTTTTTGCTTCGTTTCTGTGCCCAATTTTGTCTGCTGTTGTGCTGCATCTGAATCACTGTTTCTTTCTGATTCTCACTGTCTTTTTGTCTCTCTCTCTCTCGTTTGGCCTTTTCTGGCTCTGGTTCTCAACGTCTCTCTCCCTCTTTCTGGCGCCTCCAGCAGCAGACGACAAGCGACCTCATAGTGTCGAAAGGAGAGACTTTAAGATCTGAGGGTCTCTTGGCCTCACAAAGAGGGCGTGCCAACACTACAAGCAAAGAGTAATGACTGGCATTTAAAACTTGAGCACTCCCTGCACCCCCCCCCAAATCTACCACTAGTTTCTCCCTTTTCCCTCACCCTGTCACAACCATCCGAACCTTTCTTGTATGTAATATAACAACATACAGTAATATATATATATATATATATATATATATATATATATATATATATATATATATATATATATATATATATATATACGGTATATATACAGTACAGGACATTTTGATATTTGTAAAACAAACCTGCATGGCTAAATAAAATCAGAGGAGGTGACTTTCTTTCCTGGTGGGTGAACTGAGCCTTTGTTCTGTCTTTGTGTCCTCAAAATGTTCTCTTCTTTCCTCTTGATCAAAGTTATATCTCTATTCATTATATCTGTATTTCTGACTTCATCTAGCATTTCCCCGTTTATCTTACCTTTATTCATCAAGTGTATTCATTTCTAATACTTGGTCCCTCATGCCTCTCTTTGATACCATTCTCCTTGCAACTCCCTTTTATCAAATTCTTCTTTATTTTGAATCGTTACTTACCTCTTCTCCCCCTGTCCGTTTTCAATAAACAACACATAAGTCTGTCTAAGAATTTGTTTGTTACTCTGGTAACAAATTTGGACATTTTTAATATCCATCTCTATGGTGCATAGGCTGATGGAGGAGAAGAGGAGAGGGAAGTGGAGGAGGATGGAGGATAACAGTGTTGATGTGTTGTGGTTGTGATGGATGCACACAGAAGACTGCTTCATTCTTAATCTGACACTATAAGCACTGTCTGTATATAAGCGCAGTTAACAAATATTCCTCCTGACAAATATGGAGCAGAAACTCTCTCCTCAGAAAAACACAAATTACAAATAACAGCTGTGGCGATATTCTGCCCCAACAAGTACAGCTTCATTAATCTCCAAGCTATTTTACTGCTCTGCTTCCAATTGGCAGCAGATGTTATTTATACAGGCCTTTGTTGTATATCTTGCCTAGACACAACACAAAGATTCTAACTTGTTGAAAGAAGAGTGTCCTAAGGGACAAATGTAAACCATTTTGCTGTGGTAGGAAGTCAATGGACATTATGTCAGTAATCTCATTTAAAAAAGAACAACAACAGCGTTAAATTTATTCTGAATTATTAGTCATGTCCTTAATTCCGAATCAGGATCAATTGAACCGTCCCTTCCTCCAATTTTAGATTTGTTTCATTTCGTTCAGTTTGCAGTTTCAGTTTTTTTGAAGTGTACCCACCACAAGTTTGAACTAGAGCCTTTTTTAAAATCAATGCAGACGTTATGGAAACAAATGAAACAGCAGCCTCACAGAATGTTTAAGTCTGACTAGTGGATCGGATGAGTGCAGTTCAATCAGGACGCACAACAACAGAAGTTAATGTCACTTAAAGTTAAATTGTGCCACACTAAGACATCTTGAGTTCAGTTGTATCATTCATGGTCTTTGTTGATTAGAATTGGCATATTCTTGACCCCACAGGTTCCAAATGGTGTCTTCCAGACCTGTATTTTAAATATTTTGTTCCAAGAACTTACATTTTCTATCCTTTTGTCAAGACCTGAAGTCCCACTCTACACCCCTGATGTTTTTATTAATTATTTTACCCCCTTGACCCAAATAGTCCTTTTTAAAACTGCTGAGTACTTACAATAATGTCATTCTACTAGCCTAATGCAGTCATTTTAATATTATACTTTCTCTGTTTCCTCACTCTTCTGTTCTTTAGAACCCTGACGTTGTTGTTCTGAGTGGCAGATGTGGAATACGTCATCACCACCAGGGACGACCTGGGGAAAACTGAAGAAAAACAGCCCTACAGATCCTTTCCCATTTACCGTGCACATCACTTTGTTTCCATGAATATCATTGGGTAAAAGACCTATACTGTCTGGTGAACTATTACTGCCAATCTTAGTTGTCATGTCGGACTTGGATGTGTCCAGGCCGGTGTTTCATTGGCTGTCGATTGGCCAGTTTTAGTGTGATCGCCTCAAATCACCATTTTCATGGATCGGCACACAATAAATTCTGGATTTACTGCTTTGACACGTACAACAGCAGAAGAGGATAAAATGGTAGGTAACTTAAAAATAAATCATGAAGAAATGTGTGGGTTTGTAAAAAAATATAGTTTGGCAGAAAATATAAATGGACTTCTCATCATGTGGAGCGGCATCCAAATAAGGACTTTGAGTGGATAGCATTAACAGACAGACAGCACAATTTCAATACACAGATAATCACACTTAACCCCGGATCTACAATATGACAGACTGCCCAAACACAAAGCTGATAACATTACACAAAAAAATCTTCGGCTTATGATACAAAGATGTGTTAACCACTTGGATGATAATGGCTCACTCTTTCTCAACTGAACATAATGGACTCTCAACATGTCCGGCTGCACGTAGCACCACTCCATTCATCCACATGGACTGAGCCAATTCTGCTTATTTGAACTGAACTGAGCTGAGCTGGATCTGGATCTGGATCTCGACCTCGACTGGACCCTGCTATCTCTCGATCACAAGTCTGAAAAGCACAGTGTAAAACATTAACTGGAGCCTCAACTGGAATTGCAGACTGGTAAAAGATTCAGACTGTGCAGTGATGCGATGCAGACTAAACTGGACTAAAGTGGACCAGACAGGCCCGTTATCAATTGGTCTGTTTTCCAATGGATGGGACTGGAGAGGACCTTGTCGACCTTTAACAGCCTCTAACATCTCTTCAGGCCCACGTACGCAGGTGAGTGATCTGCTGATTAGCCCATTAACCTCAGCGAGCAAGCAGCCAAATGGAGAGTTCTCTCACTAATTAGTGTGAAAAATAGTGACCCACCGGCAGTCACCTTTGTGTCCAATAGTTTGGGGTCCTGCCACATGGTTTAAGCCAAATTTACACTTTGCACTGTTTCCTCCTGCTTTAAGTGCTTTGTAACCTAATAAGGGCAACGCTTTAACAAGTGCCGCCTAATTGCTGTCAGCAAGAGAATTAGAAAGCCACACTGGCTAACGATTGGCCTCGTTACAACTCTCCACAGACAAAATCACAACCGGCCACCGGAAATGCATCCGGGTCCCTCGTTATCTCATGCGCCTCTCTTACCCTCTCAATCGGACGTCTCTTGTTCTTTTCCTGCTTGCCTTAGGCAGTGATCAAATATTGTTGGAGGATGTAATATGCTGTCTGGGAGGACATGGTTACAAGTTAACACCACAGCCTGAGGGAATTGACTTGTACAAAGGACGGGGGGGCCCCGGGGGGTGCAGGAGAACTGAACTTATATATAGTCTCTTGGCTGGAGAGGTTGTCACTGTTCACTCTTCACAGATGAAGATAGATATTTATTGGTAGTCAATAGTATATTCCTTAGTAAAAATCGTACTGAATGTATTTTTAAACAAAATCAGCACCAATAGTTCAATAGTGCCAGTTATACTTGAAACAAACCTTGCCATGTTGTTTCACTAATACATCTCATCATGCATGGATGTGTTTCCCTTAATTATGAACAGACCATGATTTACTCTAACCGCACTTAGGTGTAAGATCATTGTTGGTGCTAAATAACTAAGTACATATTTAACAGGTTTTCAGTATTTTTCAATATAAAGTAAATCTAATATTTATTTGGCCTGAGAAATAAGTCGAATGGCAAATAAGAGAGATGAGTATGTAGCCTATAATGCTTTGTCCGTCATAAGGATACTATACACTATTTTATATTGAAAAGGCAAGATAAAGCAATCAGATAATACAGGATTTGTGTTTTTTATCCTTTGACAAGGCAGCCATACAACATTTTCCCCCATAGGTTATGATTACACAGTGTTGGAGGGACAGCAAGGACAACTATCTCCAGCGTTAATTTCATGAATATAAGAAAGAGACAGGAACACGGTTCATTGTTTGTTCAGTGATACGATCACTGAATCCCTCCGTCAGCCTTTGCGGACCTGGCACACAGACACAAGTGGTCACCTATGGGCATCCCCTCCTAAGACAGCATGAGCAGTATGAGAAAACATGTCCGACATCAGAAGATGTTTGCGCACAACAAACAATGTCCCTCTCCCTTGATGCTGGTTGTTGTTTGAGCCATCCTGCCTGTTTCTTACACACGCACATACACCAGAGAGAGATAACACAAAAAAAAAATCCACAAACTAAAAGCAAGGTGTAATAACTATCCTCCATCTTTCCTTTCCACAACGGTAGAACTGGTATTTCCTTAACGGAGAATGTACAACAGACTTGTTTAATGTCCACATCTTTTCTGTTACACTACTGTATCTTCTCAGAACCGCAATATGGTGTTTCTTTCATTCGATGCGACAGCCACCATCTGTGGTCGTTTGCGGCGGCATCTATGAATCCCTCCCAGCAACCATTCACAGAATTTCATTGGAGGCTAAAACGGCAAAGAGAGACAGAAGCACTGCATTTGTTATTACAAATGTATTGTAGAGGTGATGTGCTGTGTGCTCCCTCTGTGTAAGCTGTTCTTCTATGGCTTCAAGTAAAGCAGCATGTCACATCTGGTAGCTGATGTAGTGGCGACGTAGCTAGATGTGGCGATGCATACATTACTGCATTCATGTAGGACAATCTGACTTCTCTCACACACGCACGTACACTCGGATATATCAAAAAATGACCCTGGGTTCTTTTGACACATCATGCACTCATTACACGTGACAGTGCTGCTGTTTGGGTAAGAAGCATACAAAAGAAGAAAATGGGAGATCACACATTCAGCCCTTTAGACTGTAGACGTGGAAGCAAACACCGTGACCTTGCCCATTGGTTTGTTGACTGCAGTTTTGAAGCCTTGAGTTTAGCGATTTTCTCATCGCCATCTTGCAATTGGTGAATGCTTCCTTTGTGGTGCCAAGGAAAGAGTCGAACTGTATACTGTAGATACTGTATGTAGAGAGGAGACACAGACAACAGTATTGCAAGGTGAACAATGCTTTTGTAAAGCAAAACAGTGTAAAAGGAGACTAGAAAATTCCCATGATTCCGTTTTGCCACACTGCCCCCCTTCCTCGCAGCAGCACCTGACCACTTTGGCTCGCAACGGTGGATCCCGCTGTATCCACCAAGGTGGTTTGCGCAGCCTGCCCCTCTGATAAGCCAAAGGTCAATTATGTTGAGGCCTCAAGCAGCGGCCATATTTGAGGTTGAAGCCGGTTTAAGTGAAAGGTGAGTGCTGCCATGGTCTCCATGGCTGTGTCAAATAAACCAGCCGTAGCTCTAGAGCTGGGCGGTACGGCCAAAAATCCATATCACGGTATTTAGAAGGGTATGTGACGGTTTTTCAAGTAAACACATTGATTCATTGACCCTGAAAAGGGCCGCTCACTGCCCAATTCGCTCACAACTTGTTTGCTCGTTAGCGTGTTAGCTCGTTAGTGTGTTAGCTTGTTGTGGCTGCCAGAGATGCCACCAGAGGCAATACCAGCGGCTTGACAGACTTTGCAATAAATAATAAATCGTTTTCTGATCTAACTAACTTACGTCGGATCTTCCAAAACCGAAAACCCCTCCAAACACTGTTTCAACCCGAATACCGCCCAGGCCTGCGTTGCTCCAACAACCTCTCCTGCCCAATCATTTGGGAGTTGAGCGGAGTTGTCACTGCCAAGATCTCAAGTCCGATCATCACAAGCTTCACAATTGCTCTGCAAAGACCTGAGGGTGTTGTCCCAGAGACAGTGTCCATGTTTGGTGCAGTCTATGGTTCGACCAGGGACAGGTTCAGAAGTACTGTGTGTGAGGGAAAGGGAGGAAATGAGAAACAATAGGGCAGGGAAAAAATGATTTTACAAGGAAGAGAAACATAAGAGGATCTGGGATGTATGAGACCATTCAAAATGTGCATATACATGCTTGTTCAGAGTAGATTAACATGAGCTTCAGGTATGTTCACATGTTCCAGCTGAAATCGCATCCTGCCAATGCCGCTTATTGTGTGGTACTGTACCGGGTGCAGAATAAAATAAGGGAAAGAGGGTGCCTACAATTTCAGAGGAGAATATGACATTTGAATGCAATTGTGCAAGAGTTAAGAAGGAGAGGTAGAAAAGGATGAGAGAGGAAACCATATGGAGAACAGCGAGTGGGATGTGTGGAAGATTATTCAAGTATATATTGAGCTGCAGCTGTATTTTGCAGTGAGGTGTCTTTGGTTCCTCAGAAAGAAAACACAGTAGTATAAATAATAAATAACACATCCGCACACTGCATATTTACTTTTATAAGTGCTTATTGTGTGACTCCTTATCCCCTTCTAAAATTGAAAAGATCAGCAGGGCAGATGATTCCCTCATCTAAATACATATGTCAACACATGAACATCTACTCTGTGAGTTAAAAGAAATGACCGTGGAAAGTTCCGGTGCCATTGCATGTAATGATGCACGTAGGTTTGTGAGGACAATATTAACTTACCAAGCAAGTGTTTATTCTTCGCCAGGAACGAGTGAGTGCCTGAATTATTTAGTGGAAGGATTCATGTGTCAGTCACACTAAAAAAATATGTATTTTTGCCAGTTGGCCATCCAGAAAAAGCATCTGAAGAGCTGTGAATACTAAAATACTCTGATGTTCTGAAAAAAGGCTTTCCGGGCAGTGTTCAGCACTAAAATGTGAGCACCACTGGGACTGGTTCTGAAAAAGATCTTGCTCTTAGTGTTTCGGCGTCAGCTTTTGAAGGTCAGCAAGAGTTTAAAAGCACTGTGGTCAATCTATGAATTCAATAAAAGTCTAGAGCGAAATACATTTCATAATTTCAATTTCAAAGCTAAAAATATACAGGGATGAGTTTACTCGATCTTTGGAAGAAGAATAGACCTCTGTGTACCAAGGATTATGCCAGTAGTTGTAATTGTGAGGGGACTTATTAAGGCAATTAATGTAAGTCAATGTTGTGTGTGTGTTGAGTAATTTAAAGCAGATGCTTAAAACTATTAGAATATGTAGTAATATAAACTTTAGTACAGTTAGAGGCATTGCTGCAGTGCATTATGTACATTTAGAGTAAAATCCTTTGGGGGCAGAATGATATGAATTAATAAAGTTTAAAAAGCATCTACCCTCACATGTCAAAAATATAAACCATGTTAATGTAAACTAGACAGTTTGTCATTTTAATAATTCAATTATAGTATCAATGTGCTTTCCATCTATTATAATTCTTGACACGTAGTGAAAAGTGTTGATAAAATTCACACATCTATGGACTACAGGGACTTTGAGTTAGCACTTTGCCATTTATCTCTCTTGGCGGAAAACAATTTCCTTCTGCAGACAGCAGAGAAAAATGGACTATTGATGAATGCAACTGTTGTTAGATTCAAATATTGTGCAGGTTTTAGCCGTGGAACAGCTTTATGGCTGTTATATAGCCCGATTTACAACAGAAAAGCTCATGTAGTTTATTTGTTTTTGGGAGGAGAACAAGCTCATGGTGAGATTTGACAGTTGTGAATTTTGACATTGCAGTCCTCTATGTGTTATAAACATAAGATGTTCTGTATTGCTCTATTACCTTACTGGCAGATTTAAAGTGTAACGCAAATAATGTCATGGGGAAACGTATTAAAAATCAAGATACGTTTTTAGGGGATTAATCTGTATTTGTCCTGCAAGCTAGGATTTGTTTTTCTGTCTATGGTGCCGCTTGCACCAATGACTAAACACAAGACTACTAAAAAATAATTGAAATGCCAAAGAAATCCTCACCACGGGCAGTGGTTTATTCAATTGGTCAAACATTTAGTGGTATTCTTAGCCTCCCAGTGAACGGGAATGTCAGTGCTAGTCGGTCAAGTAGGGCTGATTTGTTTTGTCCAGTTATTATTATCAACATTGAACCATATTCTTTCTGCCAACCACTCAAAGTGAAAATAACACCAGTGTTCCCCCAAGAATCATTTACACTACTAATGAGGCCATCAGTGGGAGGTTTGTTCAAGTTTAACATGAAGATGGGTGGGCTGGCCAATTGCTTTCCGTCACATGTTGTCCCATAAATCTGTCGTCACTTAAAATGCTTTTCAGTAAATTGCTCTAACAAGGGAAATCGACAGCCAATCTCATGTAGCTTTAATATTTTTTCTCCAGTCATGGATGCCATGCTTTCAGAGACCCTGCTATTTGTACATTTGAAAGTGCGGTGCGAGATATTTAACAAGATGAGCGTCGTCTTTGTCAAAGACTTGATTGCATTAGATTTCAAACCCAGTTGGGTTCAGTATAGTAAACAGTGAGAAGGAGAATCCCGGAATCCGCCCTTAAGTTGCCTGTCGATCCAGCCTGATCCCTAAAACCTTTTCGTAAAAATGTATACGAAAATCTTGAACATACAAATTCGTAGTGATACATACGAAATAAATACGGACTGCAACTGATGACGTCACCCTATTCAGAGTGAATGGAGACCTGCACCCCGTAAACACACTTTGTGAAGTCTAACGATGTAAAATAAACGTGTTATGATTGCATTTTTAACGAGAAATCAATGTTAACTTGTAAGAATAGAATACTAACCCTGACCCCCTAAAAAAATCCAACATGGCAGAGAGACGTTCACTCAAGAATCCGACATGGTCCGCCATGTTGTTCACTCAAGGGACGTGGTTAACCACCGCCAGTTCACATGTATTGTTACGAATTTGTATGTTCAAGATTTTCGTATACATTTTTACGAACAGGTTTTGGAGATCACGTTGGTCAATCACTGCGTTGATCTTCATTATAATTTTCAAATAAAGAGAGTAGAGGGAAGAGAGAGCGAGCGTAAAAAATGTGGGATGTAGATGTTTCTAGTTCAAAGCAGCTAGCCGCCTGTCACAGCCATCCATCTGCCACTTGAGGTGGAGCTCTTTGCAAATTGAACCGTAATTGGCTACTACTACTACTATTAAATCCTGGTCTGATCCATCAGTTAAAAGAGTCAGAAGAAAAGCTTCGTAGCCATATTTTGAAGAAACAAAGCACAATTGTTATCCAGACAAATGGCACATCACTTCTAAATAACATCTTTTTCAGCTGACAGCTAACAACTTGTTAGCAAAAACATGAAAATTGTTGGTGTTAATGTGCATTAAAAGATTAAATCATCGCATGTGTCTTGACAAAACACGGCATTTCAGATGTTTCTGACTGTTGGCAACAGCAATATGCATACTAATTTATTTTGCTGTCTTTTGTTCCTTTCCTTTTCAGAGCCAGGAATCCGATGAACAAGAAAACAGATGGAGGGGTTAAAAAAAAATCAAGTAGCAGGGTGTCAGTAAGCCAAATTTAAGCCGATCAGCCTTCATCTTCATCAAATCATCAACGTTGACATTAATACGTTTACGGAGTTCAACTTTGAAAATCAAAATACTTTATTTTAAAGAATAAATAATAATGTTGGAAGACTGTATATGACTGCCGCCCCCCTACACTCCCCCAACTTATACACATCATGGTTGTAGCCTGCACTGCCCTCTGCACATCTTCATTATAGCGTTCTCACATCACTATGGAGTGGGTCAACGTGCACACAGCGTGATAGACATCAGGACAAATCTCACTTCATGTTTTCGGTGAAAAGAATTCTCCATGTATCTGACAGATATTCCTTCATGTTAACCATCAGAGTGATACAGGTGCTATAATACCGGCATCTCTCTCATAATTTCCATGCTTTGACTCTCACTTCAAGCCGGTTATTGTAAATGGGATTTGTGGCACACAAGTGTCATCTTAGATATGTGCTTTTCCATATGTGTGTTTCTGTGTGTGTGTGGGGTGTGTGTGTGTGTGCACTTAATTGAGCTTGCGCCATCCCCCCGGGGTCATGACGGTTGTCTTGAATGTTACGGTTTCTTACTAAGATTGATTACTAACGTTGGTAGAAGAGCAAATAACCGTTTGACCCATCTCAGAAGAAATACAAAAAATGTGTCTTCACTTTCCTCCCTCCATGCTCCCTTCACTTCTTTTGGGCTTTATATTTTGTATGTGTACATACAGCGATTTGAAATCTTATAGTTTTGTACATGTAATTTTTATGGTGTGTGGAATTTTTTTAATAAACAAACAAAAATGGACCGCTTCGTTCTAGACTGAATCTTCTTTTTTGAAAGGAAAAAAATATATTTCCAGCTGTAACTGCTGTGTATAAATTGTATAATCAACATATGTTGTTTAAAGCAATGTTCAGAGCCGGTGAGATAAACATTGACACTGTAATTTGAAAGGACGATGAGTAATTGTGTAAAGAAAATGTTCCACACATTTGTTGAATGAGACTGAGTTTCCACTTTGAAATGTGTTCATTGTTCCTGTAGTTTATTCGTATGAATAAATTAAGACCAAAATGTACTCAATTTGAGATGCACAGCATATCTAGTAGCTATGAATCACAGCTTTAAATATGGCGAGAGCTGAGCAGGCGGATTGCTGCTAATGGTGCTAACAGTGCAAACAGTATTTACCTGAGGGGGAACTGAAGGGCGGGTGCACAACGGCCAACCGGGCTAAGTCAACAAGAGACACAGACAATGTGGATAGAAACACACCCACACACACACACACAAACACACACACAGGGAGAAGCACTTCATTCTCTGCTCACACATCCAAACCACTTCATGACAACGTGTCAAGTGAACGTAGTAAGCGATAGCTCAGGTGCACGGTGGGCTGACCTTTAAGCTGGACCAGACGTCCTTCCGGGGACGAACCTGTGACTTTCGGTCAGCATTTTTCATATTTCTGACTGATAGCATAGTTAAAAGGTCAATTACAAGCAACGCTGCTGCAAACCAGTCTGTGTAAAAACTCCTGATGTATTTCTAAATGAAAGATGTTTTTTGAAATTCATTGTTGGAATTGTAATTATAAAGTACTCATATTAGTACCATGTACTGGCAGGCACCCAAAATAACTACTAGTACAAAAAATGGTAAAGGTTTAAAAAATAACTGTGAAAGTGAAACAATTACCAATCTGTTATATTTAAATAGTATTCTACTTTTTTACATTTTTAATTTAGCTATGGAAATATTAAATATACCTTATTTATCTCAGCATGAAATAATTAGGAGAGTAAATCACTGTCATGCTTAGTAACAGCTGTTATAATCTGTTTAGAGAAGAGATATTATTGGTAGACAGAAATATAACTTTAAATAAATGGTGTGTAGTTCACATTCAATGTTAAATTTAACATGAATCTAAATATGAAAAAATACATGTAAAAGATGCAAGGTACAAAAAAGGTGACGTGTCACTAAGGCTCAGTGACATAATGACTTGGATCATCGATTTACTACTGATGACAGATGTTTTCCTGACTGAAACATCAACATAAAGCCTTCATGCACTTGACTGGATCAATGCATCAGTCACTAAACCTTTGCCTATGACGTTCTAGGTGGAAAATCAATACAGCTACCATGTAAAGCTCTGTTTAAGTTAAGCAGTAGCGCTTTGCAGCATCCTATTTGATAATGCGTCCTGTGAAAATTACCTAAATATGCCGGCTTCCTAACCTGCTCTCCTCTCATCCACACCTGTCATTTCCCTCCTTCCCTCGTCTTTACCCCTCGATCTCCTTCCTACCAACCAATTCCCTTATTCCTCTAGTGCTGTTTCCCCTCTTTAATACCCATTCTGCTCTACACAACTCCATCCGGCTCCCCGGATCTCCATTCCACCAGTTCTGTCTTCTCTTTCCCCTTTACTTTCATCACCACCTGTTAACTCTATTTCCTTTCCCTTTCCTTTTCTCTTTAGATGTTTTTACAATAACACATAAAAGGAGTGGAAAAAGGGAAATGCCTCCTCCAACGTCACCACAGCACCATCAAAAGCAATCAAAGAAATTTAGAAAGGATGAAGACAGTCCTACAGTGAGCGATCAGCAGCCGGAGAGAATGTGGCACCTGGTATTATTTTAAGAATGATCCCAATATTAGAAATGGATTTGTGTTTCAGTCTTTGGGCTCTGTACCTGAATATTGTCACTGTTGGAAATCAACACAGAAGAGCAGAAAACAAAGTTGAATACATCCCGATGAGTCCTTTAATGCAATGAGGAATAGATTATGAAAGTTGCCTTTGCGTAAAAGTTTTCTTAACAAGGGTATGAATAAAACAAAAGGCATTAAAGCTGACAACATCATACAAAGTGATTGTGACACTATTCAAAATAATCAGTTATTCAACTGAATGTATTAATTAAGCCAAATAATTATGTCAACGTACTTTGCATTGTTGTCACCTTCTCAACAGGGCAGCTCTACGAGTACATATTTTTGTGCAGTTAATATTTAAAAATAAATAGAGTATACACAAATACACACAGCATGCCAGTGTAATACAAAAGAGCCCAATACAATTTGTCAGGGTCTTTCGCTGTCCTTACTGAGAAATATGGAACGGATATTTCAATCTGCAGAATAGTACTTATTCTTTTTAATTGGTTGGAAAATTAACCGAGGCCATAAAACTCACGCCTGATTGGATTGATGAGAATGGCCAACTTCTCTTATTTGAAACTGGTAGCCTTGAATGAGAAGCCTTGAAAACTCCCACAACCTCGTGACACAGTCAGATGCTTTAACACATGTACACATTCAAACAGAAAGGCTAATCTGTACAACACAAAAGCCTCGAAAAAGAATGTCGTTTTTGAAAACCGCTGAAGTTTCTCCTCAGAGGTTGAGCTCAAATAACATGCATGACTTCTTCAAAATGTGCTCTTTGTGCCATGTACTTGTCCGACTGCTTCTCGACTAAATGATTTATTTCTAAACTGGATTTCAATTTCCAGTCATAGCAATACAAAAAACAACGGTTTCTTCTTGAAGATTGTGAAGTCTCCTCCTGCTGTAGTCTCAGTGGAAAGAAAATAGAAAGACGAGTGCTCGAAGACACACGATTAACACCCTGAGACTGTTGTAAACTCAGCACGAGTAGCCGGATATCATTTGCGAGTGTTTTACGTCTCCTCCTCATAAACCACTCCGGAGAAACCACTGCTACACCCGGGTGTGCTATGCCTTTGAGGACTCCCGTCTACTCAGGTGGAGAATGGCCGACCTGATTTGATTCATATAAATTCATGCAATATTAAGGTGTGAAGCACTTTTGAAGGACGTAAAATGTAAAAATATCTACAAATGTGAGCTGTTTTTGCCTGGTTTTGTTTTGAAGTTTTGATACGACAAGTATGAACATGTATGACATGGCTGACCTTATTGCCCCGTTTTTATTTGACACACTTTGAGTCTTCTCCACATGTATCTTTTTAGGCCACAAATCTAACCCCAATGAGCTTGATGGTTTTAATTAGGGCAACGCGAATGATAAGCATTATTCTGCTCATTAATGAGCAATATTTACGAAAGAAAAAGAAGAAGAAAAAATGTCGTTCCAATTAATGTATGTTTAGGCTATGATTGGTGTCTGCACAGCCCGTCTGACTCTCCTCTCTGAGGTGTTAGTTGACTCTGCTTCTTTTCACTGATGGCCATATGACAGTTTCTCGTTTCTTTTCACAGTCCTTTGTTTTCAGTTAGTTAGTTCATTGGGAACTTTGCACTTAGATTACGCACTGCGCAAGTCTTCCAAACTAATAAAACCGTCAATCAATACATTGTTTACGTGCTCTTTTTTACACAATCTGCCTCAGACAGTTTTTACTTTTGCTCTGGTGTGTATTTCCAAAGGCAACAAACAAAGCAACTATAAAAACAGACGACAATAATTGTTTTGGGATTTACGGTTACAGCATTAGTTGCTTTGCACTTGCAACGTCACCGTTGACCATCTCATGGAATTGTTTCAGCCCGAGACACCAGTGAAAGAATTTGTGCGCTTAGAGCGGTTAGTGGCCGACAACAACATTTATCTTTCTTATAACCATCTATAAACTATGGAGTACGGGCGAGGGAAAAATGAAAAATGTTTTTCTTCTTCTTCGTCTCTTCTTTTTCAGCAAAACATTTCGTTCAATGGTTAAACTGAAAAAATTCAGATAAACACCCCAACAGCTCGATGTGCCGTCTTTTTCGGCACACAAACTATGCGTCTCGTTGTCTTTGATCTCTGAGCGTTTGATGCAGGTGAGCTCGGGCAGCATGTTTGCTTGGAGGAGCCCGTTACGCCTCAGCACCATCAAGACTCCATCCCTTCGTCCACGTTTGAATTTTGCAAACGGCTGAGATGATCGATGACGGCAACGAGTGGTGAGTGAGGTTATATTTTTAACAGACTGTGACGTGTATTCAGTGTCTCCATAGTAACAAAAGATAAAAGGTGAGGATCTGATATTGGTTAACATCTTACACCACTTTACTCCTCCCGTCGTCCTCTACCCGAGTATCTATTCACGTGATGAGGACCACACATCACACATGTAGCCTACATGTGAATAGATGGCCTGTTAGTGTAGCTGCAGTTGAAGAATTAACAAAATACTTCCTCTCTAACTCTCCATCCACAATAAGCAATATGTATGATATCCCTCATCATGTGAGAAGGGCAACTGAATGGACTTTTGTAACACCAGCTACTTGCTAAGCAAGGCGAGCAGTGGTGATGAAGGCAATTCTTTGTAATCAGCAGAGCTCAGTATTTATAATAACTGCACCTCATGGTGTTTTTCATTTAATCTTCTGCAGACAACCATCAGATGGGTTTTAATGAGGACAGCTCACAGTGAGAGATAACTGGAAAAATCTGCTCTCCCCTGGTTTAATCTTAGGTTGGATGCACACCACAAGATCTCATCAAGTTTAGTTCAACTAATTAAACCTAAAGTTACCGTCCTCACCCAGCCCAAATTTTCCAGATGAGGAAACTGCTGTGAGAAGACCACAAGGGAAAAACGCGATGGTACGATTCAGAAATATATTTTTCTAAATGTGTTTGCACGGAACTGGTTAATTGGGGCTAAATCTTTTAAAAAGCACGTAGCGCTTGTCCACATTTGGCAGAACGTATCAAGGGGCCTGCAGTGATCTGAATAAGTAACTAAAGAAACAGCACGGAGACCCGTCCAGCCAAGTTCAACATGGTGATTTGTGTGACATGGTGGCTC